CACAGAATCTGAAGCAGGCTCCAGGCTCCGAGCTATCAGCATAGAGCCCGACATGGGGCTTGAACTCAGGGACTGCGAGATGATGAACTGAGCTGAAGTCAGACGCTTAACCGACCGAGCCACCCAGGCGCCCCTCTAATTTTCATTTGTATCTCTGGAAGGACATTAAGACAGAAATGGTTTGTAACCAAGAGCAGGTGTTGGGAAATCCCTTGGCCTCTCCGTTCAGCCTCCAGAAGCTCCTTTCTGTGCCAATCCTTATGATACTCTTGCTTTTTCTTCTCACCTTCCCTCCTAACTCTTAATTATGTGGAGTAATTCAATTCCTCACCCATTGTTTAGTTTCTCTAGAAGAAAGGAGCTGACCCAGTGCGCTAGGAGACATTTTACTTAGAAGCTTGAAGTGTGAAGGTGAAGGTGGGGCTGGAGGGAGAAAGATTGTGGGAAGTCAGACATTGGCCATTTCTTTTTTTTTTTTTTTTTCAACATTTATTTTTGGGACAGAGAGAGACAGAGCATGAACGGGGGAGGGGCAGAGAGAGGGAGACACAGAATCGGAAACAGGCTCCAGGCTCTGAGCCATCAGCCCAGAGCCTGATGCGGGGCTCGAACTCCCGGACCGCGAGATCGTGACCTGGCTGAAGTCGGATGCTTAACCGACTGCGCCACCCAGGCGCCCAGGCCATTTCTTATAAGAATTACAAATTAGTACTTTTAGTCCTTGTTATAGGTACCGTTTTATTTGTACAAATTTATATGGGAATAATACTTGGCTTTCTTGTACATCAGTGTATCATTTGTAATGCTTTTTCTAGGCATTAAATAATTATATAGTGCTTACTTTGTACCAGGTACTGTTCCAAATGCTTTGTATATGTTAACTGATTTAATCTCCACAACAGCTTATGGGTAGCTACTGTATTTCACCCTATTTTAACAGATGAAGAAACTGAGTCACATAGAAGGTGAGTAACTTGTACAGGGCCCCACAACTAACAAGGGGTAAAATTAAATGAAATTGAACCCAGGCAGTCTGGTCTCAGAAATTAGGCTTTAAGGGGCGCCTGGGTGGCTCAGTCGGTTAAGCGTCCGACTTCAGCTCAGGTCACCATCTCGCGGTCCGAGAGTTCGAGCCCCGCGTCGGGCTCTGGGCTGATGGCTCGGAGCCTGGAGCCTGTTTCCGATTCTGTGTCTCCTTCTCTCTCTGCCCCTCCCCCGTTCATGCTCTGTCTCTCTCTGTCTCAAAAATAAATAAACGTTAAAAAAAAAATTAAAAAAAAAATAAAAGAAATTAGGCTTTAAGACAATTGCTGAACTACCTCTTGTGTGAAATAAAAATGTTTCAGTTAATTATGAATATTTTAAACATTTATTTTAAAAAGTAACGTGGAGGTTGATAGATAATAAGGTAATATCTGAATATTCTGCCTGTTCTGAATTTTCTTCCCGCTCTGAATAGTTGCTGTGACACCTGGACCACTGACCAGGCTCGGGACTTTTTCTGGTGTGTGAATGAATGTCTTTGAGGTAATGGGATTTGGAAGATAGCAGTTTTCTCACCTACTTCCTCAGAAATGAATGATCACTTCCCTTAAATGGGTAGTCAGTTGCTGCTTCTAACACAGGATAAGAATGCCTTGAGGGGTGGCTAGGTGGCTCAGTCAGTTAAGCATCCGACTTCAACTCAGGTTATGATCTTGAGGTCTGTGAGTTCCAGCCCCGCGTTGGGCTCTGTGCTGACAGCTGGGTGCCTGGAGCCTGCTTCGGGTTCTGTGTCTCCCTCTCTCTTTGCCCCTCCCCTGCCCGCACACACACACACACACACACTCTCTCTCTCTCTCTCTCTCTCTCTCTCTCTCTCAAAAATAAATAAGCATTAAAAACAACTTAAAAAAAAAGAATGCATCGAGTTCACAAAACACGAAGCCGCAAACAAGAAAACATAAAAGTGGAAGAACAAGGTTGGGCAAGTGAGTGTGGGAGTGAAAACAGTCTATCTTTTGTTCACCTCTTTATTCTCTGCTTGAGGTGCCACCTGTGGGCTTCCTTGGAGTTGCCTATATGCCTTTGTTTTCCTTGTGTGAGTCACTTCCCTGGTAGTGATGATCAGAATTAGCTGTTCCTAGACTGAATGTACGTACTTGATCATCCCTTTACTCTTGTTCTGTAGCCACTCACTGGATTCACTTTAGGGACTAAGGACGGCAGATACCTGGGTCCCCTGACACTCAGTCCTACCTCCTGAGCCCAAGGAAGATAATACTTGTTGAATAGGACACTATTTCTGAGCCTGGCTTTTGCTTCAGAATCTTCCTCAACAGTGCTCCCAGCAGTGTCTGCCAATCAGTCAGACGTGGCATAAAGCATCACTGACTTAGCACCAACTTACCATCTCCAGCTAGATAGACCCTTAGAACTAGGTCTGGATGTGACAGAGAAATCAAAATGGAGACCTACCTGCAAGAAGGCTCAGATACCACCTGGGCAACCCTGGGTGTAACAGATGCAAACCGAAGCAAACGAGGGTAAAGCCACTTACCTAAGGTCACTTTTTTACTTAGTAGCTGCACTAGAATTTAACAGGCTTCCTGCCTCCGAACCCAGTGCTCTCGCACAGCTACCTCTGTGTTGCGTGTCTGAGTTCAGCTCTTCCCAGACTTCTTCGAGTCTAAAAGTTTTCCAACTCAAGAGAATATTTTTGCTGAGCCTCCAGTTGTTGTCACACCTTCCACACCGAACCTGAGATGAGGCCAGGCTGGCTCACGACAGGTATATATGAAACTTGTTGGGTCTTGGGTCATCGCAGTTTATCTTACAGGTGGCAGCAGAGAGTGGGGCGTGGAGGACTGTGGGAACACGCAGCCTGCTTGTGTCCCTGAGAGACACACATACCTTCCATACCCTCTTCTTGTCATATGACCCTGGGGAACCAGGTGCCCTGGAGGATGCCAGGGCATGTAGAAGCCGCACAGGGGGCCCTTTGAGTGTCCTTGTTTATGGTGCAGGTTCCAAAATGGTAGAAACCCAGCTTCATTACTTATTCAGTGAGTGACTTTGGGCAAATTATTTCTCTCTCTCCGCCCGAGTGTCCTTATCTGTGAAACAGCTCTGTCTCATAGGGTTCTTGTGACGATTATCTGCGATGATGCTTTTAAGGTGCTTTAGCACAGCGCCTGGCATATACTAATGGTGGCTACCCAGTGATGTCATAGAAAGTGGCAGAATGGGGAGCTCCAGGAATTGGTCTATCCACTGCAGAAACCATTCTGCTGGCAAAACTGTCAGTGAACTTTCTCTACAAACTCTAGGATCTAATATAAAAAAAACTTGCAGCTATTAGAGGAATGCTTAATGAAGAAAGAGGCTGCTAAATTTTGACATGTAAGAAAATCTATGAGGTTACTAGTTGACTGCTGAGATAATATAGCAGAGTTGTCAGTGACCACACTTAACAAAGAGCACAGTCTGCGGGGCACATTGGTGGCTCAGTCAGTTAGCATCTGACTCTTGACTTTGGCTCAGGTCATGATCTCATAGTTCGTGGGTTCAAGCCCCATGTCGGGCTCTGCACCAACAGCACAGACAGCCTAATAGCCTGCTTGGGATTTCTTTCTCTCCCTCTCTCTCCCTGCCCCTTCCTGGCTTTCTCCCCCTCCCCCCTCTCTCAATAAATAAATAAATAAATAAATAAATAAATAAATAAATAAACACACATTAAAAAAAATTAAACAAGTAAAAGAGTGGAGTCTGCCCAGAGGAGTTGAGAGATCCCTCAACAGATGGACGGAGGCTCTCAACAAGCAGCAGCATGCCCTGGGAGGGGCAGGGGAGTCTGATTTCCAGAGGCCCTGTGTTATAACCTTCACCACGTCCAGATCTCAACAGAAGTTAAAAACCTACAAGTAGGAAAGTATGGCCTTTTCTCAGGGAAGAGGAAGAAATTGACAGAAGCTGTCCCCAAAGAAGGCTAGGTGCTGGATGTTGGCATCCTGGAATTTAGGATAATTATTAAAAGAAAACTTTGTTGCTTATCATCAGGGTACTATGGGAAACCCTATGCTTTCTTTTGGTTTTACATTGTGTTATGAATACTGTAAATATTTTGCCCTTTTCTTAGTGGAAATTACCATTAGGGGAAAAATGACCAGTTTGTAACTTGAGGAAAATAACCTTGGGAAAATTTTACCCTTGGATCTGTCTTTGAAAACATAGACACTCCTACTGTTCTGTTAATTTTTTTTTTAATGTTCACATACATGAGTAAAATCAGATAGTATTTTGTACTTTTAGAGTAACCGCTCACTAAAGACTTGTATTTGGATTTAACACATTCATTATTCTTGTTTGAAATATAGCTTATTTGGTATGACAAAAAGATAATGTATTTTATACCATAGTAATTCCCCATTCTAGGTTGCTCAGACTTGGTACATTCCTTTTTTCTAGCCCTTCACATGCTACTGGTGTGGCCAATAGCACCAGGGCTATTCCTTTCTCCTTTCCGTGTTGAGTGACATGAGACATAGAACCTCAGTGTGACCTGAGTGGGTTTGGTCAGAAATCTGAGATCATCTTGCAAGTGAGGAAAGGTTTTTTCCCACAGAGACTGGGGCGTGGAGAAATCATTTGGCAGCGAACAAAAGTTTACATTGGTCACGGAATTGGCTGTCAGCATGTGAAATCGAAAGCCAGAATTCCAGGTTACACCCAGACCAGGTCTAAGTAGTTAACAACAACAACAACCAAAAACCACAAAAAACCCTACTTTGTGTCCTGAGAGATCCAGTTGAACATCTGTGTGCTACACGTCCACCAGTGAGTGAACTAGCTACCCTCCACCAAGTGATCCCAAGTCTCTGTTTTTTTGTCCAAAGCAGTGGCAGTAGAGTTGTACATTTGAGAATGTAAAGTCTTCATTCGCACACCTGTCAGAGCCCTGGCTTGGAACTCAATGTAGGAGATGCAGAGGAGGCAGGAATAATTATTTTCCTAGCTTCCTTCTAGGAGAGGAGTTTGCTGGTGAGAAAGACTATCAGGATCTGAATGGCACTTGTGATGGGGCAGAGGAAGGTTTTGTTGGCCAAGCTGGTTGTCCTTGGAGTCAGGCGTGGGGTTGTCCTGGTTGTGGAGATATGTCTTGTCATTGGGCTTGGCCTTGGGGTTGTCCTGGTTGTGGAGATGTGTCCTGTCATTGGGTTTGGGCTTGGGGTTGTCCTGGTTGTAGAGATGTGTCCTGTCATTGGGTTTGGGCTTGGGGTTGTCCTGGTTGTGGATATCTGGGAGCTGGTCGTCTCTGGAAACAAACAAACAATAGCATCACAATCTCTTTGTTGGGGGGAGGTGGTGGTGGGCAGTAGAGAAAGGAGGCTAATCTGATGGAACGCTGGATCAAATTTCAGTAGACCCTTCTCAGCTACCAAGTATTTGTAGAGGATGAGGAAAAAACTAGGGGTACAGAATGTCAAGGAACAAAATGCAAGTAAGAAAGATTCTCTACCCTTAAGGTCTACACAATCCTAAATTGGAAGGAATTTATACAACTATTGAATTTGTTGTTGGGTGGGTAGTCTGTCCTCCTATGTCTTTATGTCCTTAATGTTATATTAGATCAACCAGTGCAAATATCATCCAGAATGGCATGATTTTCTTTTTTTCCTACTAATTTCAAAGGTTGCATATAAAGCTTGTAAGAATAGATAATCATTCAGACCTGAGGATGGCTACTCCTGCCCTAAAGCAAGTGCAAAGAGGCCCTGTACAAACCCCTGAATCTCTTTCTGTGGTTTCAGAGGCACTGGTCATTCTCAGATGTGGGGGTCTGACCATCCATGGGTTCTCTGAGGTTGCCTTGCAGAGAAGCAGAGAACCAGGCCCTGGGGGTAGTCTGATCCTGGAAAACCTGGAGTATTATAATGATGCCTCCAGGGGTCTATGGATCAAAGAGGACTATATAGAAGAATAAGAAGGGAGAAATCCTGTGATTTGCTTGGGCCCAAGCACTGTCCCCAGCGGGAGGGTGTCTTCCAGTTAGGAGGCCTTGTCCTATCTCATTTAGTGTTTCTCCAGGGCAAATGTTTCTCTAGTATCCCACTGAGCCACAAAGTCTGAACACAACTACTTGAAGGAATCCTGATTAGAAACACACATTTTTTCTTTCTTTCTTAGCATTTACATGAGTGTTCATCTTGAAAATACCCTTCAGGGAGAAAATAATACCCTGGTCTTTCCACAGAGGGGAAGCACCAAAGGAAACCATGAAGGCATTCATGTAATAGTTTCCTTAGGCAGAATCACTTTAAAATCTATTGCTGAAAACAGATATCCCTTGTGACCACATTTGCAATGTACAGTCAGCAGGAAAATGAGCATCATACTGCATGTTGGGGGGCTCCCAAGGAAGACTTGTTATCTGGACATTAAGAAAGACTAATGTTTATTGTTCTTGGTTGAGCTTTGCATTTTAAAACTTCATTCGTAGTAAAATGTTGTCTTTCTAGTTTTGATGTAAGTCTAAGAAAAGTGGAAAAAAGTATAAGATGTGGACTATGAGTCCTAGTTTTGCCATTTGCTTTCTGTGTGGCTTTGGGCAAGTTACCTATCTTTCTTGGACCTCAGTGTCTCGAATTTGTTTTAGCTCCATAGAAGGAGGTAGGAGAGAAGGAAGAGGACAGAGAAGGGAGGAGAAGGACCAGGAGCTCCAGGATGGTTTGAAGTTGGAGACGACAGCCTGTGAAAGGTCAGTGTAAATCTCTGGTGGTAGTGGTGGTGGCCAGAGGCCACTCTGAGAATGAAGGAAAGTATGAGTATTTCTACAGTATCAACCCTTCTTTATGCAAATCTCCCCCTCTTCCCTTCAGCCCCTTGGTTAGAGTCTGCTATACATATGAAGACTTTGTGTGAGTGGGAATTCTTTGTGGAGATTAAAGAAAGAGCTGACTTTCATATCCATCTATGTAGTATTAGACATAATGGCTCCTGAGGAAGCAGTAGTCTGGAGCCACAGGTGACTGAGAGTTAGCCCCTGGGAGTTGGCAGAAATGTTGGGAATGGCTTTTGTTTCCCAGAGGGCATCTGATAAGGGGTTGAGCCGTCTTCTGTAGGTCTCAGGTGTTGGGGGACTCAACTGACATGTGGACAATCATGACCAGAAGACTTTCTAGAACATCCACAAAGTAATTTTCCAGGCTGACTGAATCACTGCCAGATATGTAAATAGGCCACAGAGGAACTTACCTTTTCTTCTTAGTTGCAGAGAAGAAAATGTAGCCATGTTGTAGAAATTGATAGCAAAGGCTCTGTGGAGGGCAAATCAATAAGAGATCGTGGTGAGGACCTCAGCTCTGGAATTCACGAGTCCTGCTCCCATTTCTTCCTTCCCAGAGGATCCCGACCTTAGTGTTCTCTACAGCATAATCAGCAGATCGTTAAATACTGATCTGGTCTATATTGTCTTGACTAAGATCCTCTGTGGTCTTGCTCCAGCCGAGTTCTTGTCCATCCCCCACCCCACCAATTACAGCACCCTGAACTCCTTACCGGCTGGTATGTACCTCTGCTCTTTGTTTGAACCACTCTGAACCTCTACTCTTTGTCCAAGCCAGCCCTGCCTGTGATCTCCGTCCTGGTCCCATCTGCCCATATACTCAATAGTAACCTCTGTGAAGTCATTTCTCCCTGTTGTCATTAACCCACACAGAGCTCCATTAGAGAGACATGCTCCTCGACTGCATTGCCTTGCTGTGAGCCTCTTCTGCCACAGGAGGGCCAGCTCCATGGGGACAGGTTCTGTTGTCAGCAATGCCTGACACATAGTAGGTGCTCAATGTTCATTAAATGATCTGTACAGCTTGGTATGTTGTTCTTTTTTTTTTTTTTTAAACTTATTTATTTATTTTGAGAGAGAGGGAGGGGGGGGAGAGGGAGAATGCAAGCAGGGGAGGGGCAGAGAGAGAGAGAGAGAGGGACAGAGAGAATCCCAAGCAGGCTCCATGCTGACAGTGTGCAGCTCCATACAGGTCTCAAACCCACAAACTGTGAGATCATGACCTGAGCCGAAACCAAGAGTTGGATGCTTAACTGACTGAGCCTCCTAGGTGCCCCCTTGGTATGCTATTCTTATTATAGTGATTTCACTATCAACCCATTCTCTCGTTCATACATTCAACAGGCTCAGGTCATGATCTCACAGTCCACGGGTTTGAGCCTCCCATCAGGCTCTTTGCTGACAACTCAGAATCAGGAGCTGCTTCGGATTCTGTGTCTCCCTCTCCCTGCTCCTCCCCAACTCGCACTCTCTTTCTCTCAAAAATAAACATTTAAAAATTTTTTTAAAAAGTAAAACAATCAGTGGACGAGTTAAGTAATGGATCCCAGGTGTGCTATGTGTTGTGAAGAAGCAGTGAAAGTTCTGAGGGTGAAAAGCAGGGAGCTGGAACTTGACCTGGGGGTTTAGGGAATGCTTTCTGGAGGAAGTGATGTTCACCCTCTGCAGTGATTTCTACAGAGGCCTTGCCTCCCCAGAACTCATTGTGGAGCCCCAGAGGCAGGGGCCTCTTCACATCTCCTTGTGCCCCACCCAGCACGGTGGAGCTCCCTGCTGTCTGTACCCCCATTATATGTGCCGGTCCCTCCCCTTGTCAGCCGCGTGGGCCAAGGAGGGGTCTGGAGACCGTACTGTCTGTGGGGATGTGCTGTTTCTGTGGCAGGTGGTCACCGTTGGGTCTTTCATCTGTTGTTGCATGGAGTGTAGAGGCTTTAATGATGTGACGTGTAAGCAGAGTCATTGCCCTGATTAGCTTTGGTTGGCATCTAGGAGACTGCTGTCATCAGGAGGCTGGGATGTAGCAGCTCCCTTGCATTTCCACTCTCAGAAGTCACCGTGGGCAAAATGACTTCTCCAGAGCCAGCCATGTCCCATCAGGCCCCAGGCATGGCAGGAGAAGGCAGGATGGCTCAACAGCATCATCACCATCAGTGTCTGTAGAGACTTGGTGGCTATCGACCGGGGACATGGCTTCATGGTGAGACCTGCCCTTTTGGTACAGAGTGGCAGTCTGAAAGTGTGAGGGCCTCTCAACGTGGGCTCCTAAAGTAACCTGGGTAACATCTCTAGCTGAGAGGAAGGTCGTTTTGTTAAAGTGGAATGTGAGCGCCGGCTGGCCTCGCCTCGGAATCTGAGTGTGTCCATTCGGTGTGACATTAGGAAGTCAGTGTTATTACGTGATCATCACAGTTGCCATTTTCAAAACGAATCTGTTTTAAAAAATGATCCTCTGGAATTTGATGCAAACATGTGCCCAGTGGCAAAGATTCTTTGCTTGACCAAACTTTAGTCAGGCTCCAGAACCTTCTCCCAGACCTATCTGTGCACTTCCTTGTAAAATCTGGTTTCAGCAAGAACACTTCTAAGTCAGTTGAGCAATTACCTCTCACCCTTCACCCCTAACACCTGGTTCTTCCTCCTCTACCACCCCAGATAATATCTGCTCACCTTGGCCTGCCTTCTGCAAGAATCCTGTTAGGTCAGTTTAGCCAGAATCCCCCTTACAGGCCTTGTTGTTTCTTCTTAGTGACCCCCCCAACCCCCCCACCCTGCTTCTTGGCTGTAAATTCCCACTTGCCCACATGGTATTCAGAATTGAGCCTTATTCTATCTTAGGTTCTTCTGTTGCGACAGTCCTGAATAAATTCGGTTTTCATTTGTTTGTTAGCTTGGTTTGCTTTAACCACTGTCTAGCTCTGGATTTCTTCACAACCAGATCTTTCTGTCTATGTTGAGCCTGCCCTGGGGGGAGGGGGGTGCGTGTGTGTGCGCATGAACTGTAGGTAAAATGTTGGACAGAATGGTGAAGCAGAAAAAGAGCACAGCTACTAAATTCTCCACTTCGTGTCTGGGGTGCATTTTGAGCCATCTCAGGTCAGTGTAAAACTGCATAAACCCCATCTGCAAAAAGCCCATAAAAGCCCAAAGCAAATCACATGGTGACAGGTTCTTACTGTAGCTCGATTGTGGTTATGTTTTCGGAGTTAGGAGATACCCAGTTTGCTGTGAAGAGCTTGTCATTCAAGTTCTCCAGGTGATACAGGGCGCTGCTGTTGCAAAGCTCGTCTGCTTTTTCCCAGAGGCCTAGTGAGGTGTTGTTCTCATCCACTGCTCGCAGGACCACAGAGCTGATATTGGCATTTACAGGAACCCATACTATGAGGGAATGACAAGGAAACAATCAGCCGCCATCTGTGGCATGTGACAGGGGGATGAAGGTCATGAAATCAAAATTTAGTGTGCAAAAAGAAAGTTACAAATAGGATGTGCATATAATACAATCCCATTTTAAAGGAAGTTGATGAAAAAAAGTCTGGAAGGAAATATGAGATACTAACTATGGTGCGGGAGTGCAAGCTGGTGCAGCCACTCTGGACAACAGTATGGAGGTTCCTCAAAAAACTAAAAATAGAACTACCCTACAAGCCAGCAATTGCACTACTAGGCATTTATCCAAGGGATACAAGTGTGCTGTTTTGAAAGGACACATGCACCCCCATGTTTATAGCAGTAGTATCGACAATAGCCAAAGTATGGTAAGAGCCCAAATGTCCATCGATGGATGAATGGATAAAGAAGATGTGGTATATATATATACAATGGAGTATTACTCAGCAATCAAAGAGAATGAAATCTTGCCATTTGCAACTACGTGGATGGAACTGGAGGGTATTATGCTAAGTGAAAGTATCAGTCAGAGAAAGACAAAAATCATATGACTTCACTCATATGAGGACTTTAAGACACAGAACAGATGAACACAAGGGAAGGGAAAAAAATAATATAAAAACAGGGAGGGGGACAAAACATAAGAGACTCATAAATATGGAGAACAAACTGAGGGTTACTGGAGGGGTTGTGGGTGGGGGGATGGGCTAAATGGGTAAGGGGCATTAAGAAATCTACTCCTGAAATCATTGTTGCACTACATGCTAACTAATTTGGATGTAAATTAAAAAAATAAAATAAAGTAAAAGATATTAAGTATGATTTCTTGGTAGTGGGATTATAGATTATTTTTATTTTCTTCCTAGTGCATTTTTGTGTTTTCCAAATTTTTTATAGTAAAAGGTAAAAGAAGACCAGTACTCTGGCCCTGGTTTTGCTATATAATAGGGGTGAGCTCGTGGATGGCTCTTTATCTGTGGAGCCAGGTTCCTATCAGCCAGTTGAAGGGGATAGCCTCTTCTCCCCTTCTGTCAGGGTGAGTGGAGAGTGGGGAGAGGTGTGGTTGATGCATGAGAAAGGGTCAAGTGGGCCCCTTGGGAAGTCGGTCATGAAATAAGGGCCTGTTAGTGACAAGTCAAAGCAGAGTCCATTTCCTGGTCCTCTAGGTCTCTATTGTCAAGTGTGAGGGAAGGGATGGGGTCTCTGAGCCCCAGTACCTATCACATAACCCTAGGGTTTCTTGACCTTCCCCAATCAGGTGAGTCTTCCGTGTTGATCTAGCCTGGGGTGCACTCACAGGCTAGATTCCAGCATCCTGATGGGTAGTGGAGAGGGAATTTCAAGAGAATGTTTCAGTCTGTCCATTTTCTCCCTCAGAAGATCCCTTCTGAGGGGTGCCTGGGTGGCTCAGTTGGTTAAGTGCCCGACTCTTGATTTTAGCTCACGTCATGATCTTGCGGTTTGTGAGATCGAGCCCCGAGTCAGGCTCTGTGCTGCAGCAGATTCTCTCTCTCTGCAGATTCTCTCTCTCCCTCTCTCTGCCCCTCCCCAGCTAGCTCTCTCTCTCAAAATAAATATATTAACATTAAAAAAAATAATAATAAGATCCCTTCTGAAAGAATTTCTCAATGCCAAAGGGCTGTTCTCCAGGTCCCTGTCAGCCACTCACATTCATTCAAAGACTTCTCCTTACAAAGCATAGAATGTCAAGCCTGTAGCACAATAGGGTCAGACAATCCTAGATGAGAACTGTAGCTCTTACATTTAGGAGCAAGCCATTTCGTCTCTCAGCCTCGGTTTCCTTGTTCATCACTCACTCCACAAATATTTCTTGAATGCCCACTTTGCCCCAGGGCTGGTCCTAGGTCTGGGGATAATGATATTATCCCTTGTTACATGGAGATCGTGATACCTTATCTTACAAGGTTCCTGGGAGTAGCACAGAGAATAGTGTTAAGACTTTAACACGTGATGGGTGTTGGGTGAATGGCCATTGTTATTTATTTATTTATTTATGTAAGCACAAAACATTTCTCTTTGTTTTTGCCAGTCACGGGGGCGGGGTGGGGGGGTGGGGGGGTGGGGGTGGTGGTGGTGCGCTGAGCCAAACCCCACAGGCCCCGACTTGCCAGGCAAGAACCTGGCTGCTGTTGTAGACATACGCAGGGTGGAGGGCTCTGCGATGCTGTCCGGCAGATTTCACCAAGTCTGTCAGTTCTCCTGGGGGCATGCTCTTGCCTGTGCTCTTGCTTCTGCTTGCTCTCTCTCTCTCCCTCTGGCGTCCTGCCTCCTTTCTTCCCTCCCAGGCATCTGTCGTCTGGGTTTCTGGCCTCCACCTTCTCTCTTTAGACCGTAGCCAGATCAGATTCCACACACACTTCCTTCTGGATACAGTACTCTCCAAAACCGTCCAAGTGCCCTTCTTTCTAGAGGATCTAAACATTTCTGCTTTTATATTTTCACTTCTCTTGATTGTAGGACCCGGCACATGGCTTTCATGGTCCTCCTAGCCTGGCTCACTGTGTTTTCTGCCCTCCTGCCCTCAGGGCAGCCGGCCTTCTTCTGGCTCTGCAGATGCACCCGGCCATCACCTGCCCTGGCCTTTGTTTGTGTCTGACCACCTATCTGGGATTCTGCCTTCTCATCACATATTCCATCCCCGCTTACCCTCCAGGACGCTGCCTATGTCCCACCTCCTGGCCAGTTCAGCCCTCTTTCCCTCTCTCTCCTGAAACATTTATGTTTATATTTATGGAATTGAGTCCTTAACTACATCCTGGCTTGTACTATATACTGTGGTTTCATCCATGTCAGTATCTGGCCCATCCAGTGCTGGGCACCTGGAGGGTACCAGATAACTACTCACTGATTGATTTAAAAAGTTGTGCACCCAAGGTGGTACAGTGCCCTTAAAGATGAAGGGTCAGGAAAAAGGCAAGCAAGTTACATCCCTCTTGCCCACTGAAGGGAAAAATGGAGGCCGATGCTTACACAGCAAAATCTTAATATTGTCACTGTATCCCAGGTTTCTTTCCCTGATACCAAGACAAACCTAGGAAACCTCTCCTAAGATAACACCTAGGCTGCCATTGTGCCATGGGACATGCCATTTGGTCTGTATATGACCTGCCAATGTTGACACAAACCCTGAAATTAAAAAAATATTCAAAATGAAAATAAGGAGAAGCTGTTGCCCTTTGTGGGTATGTATCTAGTCTCCCCAAAGGTCCCGCATCCCAGAGGAGTCCTGCAATGACACCCTTACAAGGAGATCACAGAGCTTGTTGTGTAATCCTAGGTGTGGAGTCTGACACTTCACGTCTCCGTGAGCATAGGATTTTGACTCCCAACTTAAATCATTCACATAGTGATTCAGTTTATCATAGAACTTTTAGCACTTTTCTGTTCTGAGCCGAAGTCAGACGAAACTTGGAGAAGTGCCCGGCACATAGTAGGTGTTCGGTGAACCGGAGCTCCTCTCCTCCTTCCTCACCCCCCTGCTCTACCCGGCACCTATGTAAATGCCTGATTTCCCTCTCACACAGTGTATTCCCCTGCAAGGGGTCTCATGGATCCTCTCCTGACTGTTCTTTCTCCTCCTTCCCTACTTTCAGAAGGCCCCCATGCTACATGTCTCTCCCCCAACATCTTCACAAGATAGATTTCTTTTTCTTTGATTTCAGCAGCAGAATCCCTCACCTTGTGATATGTTATCTTAAGTCCCCGGTCTGTGATCTCCTTTGTAGCTGTTTCTCTGACCTGCCCCAGGTCCTTCTCTGTAGATAAGGTCATACATATGCCTTCCTGTCCTCATCTTGAATTATAAGATTATCTGCCCTGGCTTAGTAGGATAGGACCCACTGTCTGAAGGAGTGGGATACAGTGACCTGAGTCACAACGGAGGCCCTTAGTGACAATCCCGATGGAAAAAAAAAAAAAAGGAAAAAGGACAAGACAGGATGAGCATGGGAAGGCAGACCATGGTCGTTCTCCTGCCGAAGTCTGGACTCTGTAGTTTATGGGTGTAATATCCACCCTGGTGCTCCCTGAAAAATTGGGGTCGAGTTCTAGGGTAGTAGGATGACACAGTAATGAGACAGCAGTCTCCGAAGCTGGACAGCCTGGCTGAATGGAGCTGGACAGATCTCAGCTGTTAACTTGGGTTCAGATATTAACAGTGCTCCTTCCTGTGACCTTGGGTAAAAACTTTAACTCCCCTGTGCCACAGTTCTCATCTGGGAAGACAATAGCATTTACCCTTGGAACAGCACCCAGCACATAATGAGTGGTCTCAGTGCTCAGTACCGTAAGTGAGAGGCGTATGGTGCAGTGGTTAGGGGCCGGGTGTCTCAAGCTAGGCTGCTCGGGTTTCTATCCCAGTGCCACCATCTAAGTAGCTCTGTGACCTGAGCAAGTGACTATCACCTCTGCCTCTGTTTTCTCATCTGTGAAATGGGAATGACTGTGGCATGTATCTGCCTCACAGGTTATTGTGAGGAATAAATGCATGAATACCTGTAAACCACCATATTAAATGTTGTTATTATGAACGTAATTAGAAAGCACCTGCCTTGACTTATAAGGTTTGGCTGATCCAAAATGGGATATTTGGAGAATGTTCCTCGGCACCTCGAAGAGAAGCATCAGATTGGAAAGGAAAGACCAAGATTCAGGAGCCAGACATTTCTGCCACTTACTTGCTGCAGTGGAACCCTGAGCCATCACCTCACTTCTCTCGGCTTCAGGCTGCTTGTGAACCAGGTGGGAGAGTAACACTTCCCCTGCCTAGCTCGCTCGAGTTTCCTCCCACAGACTGAAGGTGAACAGCGCCTCCCGGCATGCAACATGCCATCATCCACAGGGGCATTGTTCTCTCAAATGGATGTGAACAGACTACAGACTGTGATGCAGATATTACCCCTGAAAATAATAAAAATGCCCCTTTTCTTTAAGTCAGAGAATTTGCCTCAGGTGAGCTCTTGCTGGGGCTCAGTTAATCTGCGTGTCGGGACGTCATGGCCCCCTGGCTCAGGTTTGCGCAGAGAACAGGCAGAAACAGCCCCACCCAGCTAACTCTATCACATGTTCTCTTTCTTTCTGTTTCTGCCCCCACTTCCCATTTGGGTCAAAGACACATGTTTTATGTGATTGAGCGCAGGAATGGAGGGGTGTGCTCTGAAGTTCTGATGAACTCCCTATAGAAGGCAAAGGACGACAGAGAGAACGGCTTCTCACCTGTGTAGTTTCTGTTGCTGTCATAGACATCTGAATTGACCATGATGCCTGGGCCAGTGGTGGTGACCTCACTGAAGAACATGCATTTGTCAATTTCACCTGCAGAGCTGGCAGAAGAACACAGCAGTCCGAAGCATAGAAACAGCCCGAGTGGCAGCAGTGTGGAGCCAAGGACTGCCATGGTCTTGACTGGTTTGGAGACGGCTGGGCCAGGTACTAGGAAATACCTGCGACTCACCTCTTTATATGCTCCGGGGTTGGAGCTTCTGCGTGAGGTCATAAATGCAAATCTCCTTCCCACTCCTCCCTAAAATGAACTGGTGTCTGGAATTCGGCCCAGAATCTCACCACGAATGAATCTCCTGCTATTCGTCAGCATGACCCTTTACCAATTCCAGTTTTGCTCAAGAAGGGGAAGGTACTGATCATGGTTCTGTTCTGCACCTCATTCATCTCGGCGTCTGCTATTTGATGCAAGCTGTGGAGAATAGGCTGAGTGCTGGCAAAGTGAAATCCAGAGTGGAGTGATCATCACATACCTGGCCCATTTAGAAGCTCCACTCTTCAGGCTCCTGGGTGGCTCAGTCGGGGATGTGTCTGACTTTGGCTCAGGTCATGATCCCCCAGTTCGTGGGTTCAAGCCCAGCGTCGGGCTCTATGCTGACAGCTCAGAGCCTGGAGCCTGCTTTGGACTCTGTGTCTCCTTCTCTCTCTGCTCCTCCCCCACTCACGCTCTGTCTCTCTCTCTCTCAAAAATAAATAAACATTAAAAAAAATTAAATAGAAGCTCCACTCTTTTCCCTATAGGGAATCCAGGTGTAAAAGCTCTCTTTTCTTGGAATGTTACATACCCTTTTCTAGCTTTCCTTTATCGAACATGTCTCCAATCCCCATCCATTTTGTGACTAGCATAGAATTAGGAAGACCATGCTTTTGGATTTATATTTATTTTCTGGAAAGAAACAGCTTTGGGGGCTCCTGGGTGGCGCAGTCGGTTAAGCGTCTGACTTCAGCCAGGTCACGATCTCGCGGTCCGTGAGTTCGAGCCCCGCGTCAGGCTCTGGGCTGATGGCTCAGAGCCTGGAGCCTGTTTCCGATTCTGTGTCTGCCTCTCTCTCTGCCCCTCCCCCGTTCATGCTCTGTCTCTCTCTGTCCCAAAAATAAATAAAAACGTTGAAAGAAACAGCTTTGGTCCACCTTGCTCCTGACATGTTCCTCCATAGCACCATAGCACAAGGGAAATACTAAAAAATCAGAAAATATGTTTTCTTATATCTCTCCTCTGATTTTTATGATTTATTTTCTGAAAGAGTACTATGTGAGTAGAAATGAAACCAAAAAATGTAGAATTGAATCAAGGTGATATTTATAAATGTTTCTTTGAGAGAAGCACTTACAGAACGGTAGAGCAAGGACCTCTGAAAAATCTACTCCTCCAGCAAAGCAATGAGAACACCAGCAAAAATGGTCAAAATCAATTTTTTCAGAACTCTAGAAATTGACCAAAGGCTTGCAAAAATCTGAGGAGCATTTGTTTAAGAAAAATGGTGGAATCTCATTAAGCACAGTGAGCACTGTGGCATTTTAGCTTGCCTTATTCCCACCCCTCTCTCCACACCTCTGCAATAGCCTTAGAAACCAACAGCTTTGGGACACCTCGGTGGCTCAGTCAATTGAGTTTCCAACTTCAGCTCAGGTCATGATCTCACAGTTCATGAGTTCAATCCCTAGGTCAGGCTCTGTGCTGACAGCTCAGAGTCTGGAGTCTGCTTCGGATTCTGTGTCTCCCTCTCTCTCTGCCCATCCCGCACTCATGCTCTGTCTCTGTCTCTCTCTAAGATAAGTGAACATTAAAAAAACAAACAAACAAACAAACAAACAAACCCAACAGCTTTGCCATTATGGGAGCCATGGAAACCAGCAAATTAGCAGCCAGTGGAAGAGGGCAGAATGGGTTTGGAGTGTTCCAAAAGTCTCATTTCCAGAGAATTGTCACTGTGTGACCTATCTGGAAATTGCCTGTAAATCAGAAATCTCAGGTTTCATTAGCTGACCACCAGGTGAACTGAGCAGAGACTTCAGTGGCCACACATGATAAAGAAGACAGATGGGGCACCTGGGTGGCTCAGTCAGTTGAGCGTTTGACTCTTGATTTTGGCTCAGGTCATGGTCCCAGGATCATGGGCTCTGCAGGGCTGAGCTCCGCTCTGCTGATTGTGGAGCTTACTTGGGATTTTCTCTCTCTCCCTCTGCCCCTCTCCCCCACTTGCTTGCTCACTCTCTCTAAAATAAAAAATAATAATAATAAAAAGAAGATAGACCTCACAGAATTAATTTGTAAAAATCACTAAACAGACAAAAGTAGCAGTAGCAACAATCAATAATACCAACAGAAACTACAACAAACCCTGGGAGGGAGGGGTATCACATATCCAGGATGACCACATTATATTTTTTAAATGTCCAGTTTTCAACAAAAGATTACAAGACCTACAAAGGAACAAGAAAGTCTGGTCGGTGCACAGGAAAAAAAAAACTGTCCTTAAGGAAGCCTATATATTAGACTTAGTAGACAAAGATGTTATCTCAAGTATTATAAATACGTTCAAAAAGTAAAAGAAACCATGTCTAGAGAGTGAAAGGAAAGTATGAGAATAATGTCTCATCAAGTAAAGAATATTATTAAAGACATAAAAATGATTTAAAAGAAAACAAATAGAAATTCTGCCATGGAAAAGTATGACTGAAATGAAAATTTCAGTAGAAGCACTTAACAATAGATTTTAAGTAGAAAGAGAAAGTATCATTTAACTTGAAGATATTCAATAAAAATACTGGAAAATTTAACCAAATAAATGTGAGACTTGTATACTGAAAACTATAACACAGGACCCAGAATAGCCAAAATGATCTTGGAAAAACAACAATAACAACAAAGTTGGACTTAAACTGCCTACAATTTCAAAACTTAGTATTTAAGCTATAGTTATCAAGATAATGTGATAATGGGATAAGGATAGACATATATAAACCAATGGAAAAGAATTGAGAGTCCAGAAATAAACCCATACACTTATAATCAACTGATTTTTGATAAGGGTGCCAAGACAATCTGATGGGGGAAAGAATAGTCTTTTCAACAAATGGAATAACTGGATATCGACATGCAAAAAAATGAAACTGAACCCATAACTCATACTATATAAAAAATTAGCTTAAAGTGGGTAAAAAATCTAAATGTAAGTGTTTATACATCCTGCCCCCCCCCCAAAAAAAACACGTATAACATTTCATGGCCTTGGATTAGGCAACACTTTAATAGATATAATGCCTAAAGCATAAGCAACCAAAGAAAAAATAGATAAATTGGACTTCATCAAAACTAAAAGCTTTCATTCTACAAAGAACACTATCAAGAAAGTGCAAGGATAATCCAAATAATGGGAGAAAATATTGCAAATCATCTATCTGGTAAGGGCCTAGTATCCAGAGGATACTTACAACTCAACAATAAAAGAACACTTACAACTCAACAATAAAAAGACAAGTATCCCAACTTAAAAATGGGCAATGAGTACTTTCTCCATAGAATATACACAAAAGTGAAAGAGTATGTTAAAAGATGCTCAGCATCATTAGTTATTAGGAAAATGCAAATAAAACTGCCAAGAGATACCACTTCACAGACAGCGGGATGGCTAAATGACATAACGAGTGTCCACAAGGATATGGAAAATCTGTAACCCTTCTGCATTGCTGATCGGAATGTAGTCAATTTGGAAAAACAGTTTGGCAATTCTTCAAAAAAATTAAACAGAGTTACTATTACATGACCCAGCAACTCCACTCATAGTTATGTACTCAAGAGAATTCAGAACATATGTCCACACAAAAACTTGGACATGAGTGTTCATAGGAGTGTTATTCCTAAAGCCAAAAGGTGGGAAACAACCCAAGTGCCCATTTATTCTTGAATAGATGCAAGAATAAGGTATATACAACAATGAAATTTTACTCAACTACAAAAGGGAATGAAGTACTGATAGATGCTACAACATGGATGAGCGTTGAAAACATTATGCTAAGTGAAAGAAGCCAGACACAAAAGACCACATATTGTATGATAGCACTTATATGAAATATCCAGGATAGGCAAACTGATAGAGACCAAGTAAGTATTTTCCAGGGACAGGGTGGGGGTGGATGGTGGGAGGGGTGGTAGGGAGGAACAGGGAGAATGAGAAGTGACTGCTAATTGGTTTGGGGGTTCTTTTTGGGGTGTTGGAAGTACTCTGGAATTAGTTATGATAGTTTCATCATTGTGTGAATATACTGAAATCCACTGAAATGAATTTTATGGTATGTGATTTAGATTTCAGTAAAAATATTTATTTATATAATATTATGTGCAAGCAAGTTAGGGGTAGTAGAAAGAATGCAGCAGAACTTTAGTATTAGATACTGTTTAGGAACCTGGCTTTGGGAGAGTTTTAATCTATCTTAACTTCAATTTCCATTTCTAAAAATTGGGGCATTAATACAAATCTTACATATTTTAATGTATGTTAAATGAGAAATATATGTAAACTGTTTTGGGGGATGGATGGAGTGGGTCTGGTACACAATAGGTGTATAACACATGTTGATTTGTTCTCTCCCTTCTTTCCGCTCTTTCTTTCTTCCTTCCAGCTTTCCGTCCTTCCTTCCTTCCTGCCTGTCTGCCTACCTGCCTGCCAGATTAAGGTAGTGGGTCAGGAGAAAAGAAAATATAGGAGTTTTGCTGTTGATATGGAGACAGTAGTCTAAACCTCCCTGTGAATTGAGGGCAGACGATTGGGGCAGAGCGGGGAAACTGACAAGCAGAATTGTTCCATTCATTTAGTACATTGTGGAGCTCAGCCCAAGAGAGAGCCTGTATGAAGTCATCAACACTGCCTTTAGGGAGGAGGGAGCTGTTGGCTACAGGGACAGCTGTTGACAAAACAAAATTGATCTTTGATTCCTCCAGAAGGGACTTGAGTTTTCTTGAGGATAGACCACAAGAAAACTTGTTGAAAAAAAAAAAATAGATGTATTTGGACTTCCCACTATTCCTTCACCCCTTTCTCTGTAATTTTGGATTCTAGTTCCTGGAAATTCATACTTTTTAAAAAGCTCCATAGATGATTCTAGAACAGTTCT